ATTTTACATTTACAGGGGAGGGGAGGGCAGGGGAGGCATTTATCATACATGGTATACACAAAATATGTATAATATATGTGATGGCAATGTATTTTCTCTGAAAATTAAAAAAAAAAATAGCTTCATGTACTAAAGTAGACTTATCTCCAAAACAAGTATTACATATTTCATTAGCCAATCTCTTAAAAGTGATATTGACTGCTTGTATCCACTATGTTTTTGTCAAAAATATCATCTGGTAACAGCTATGCATTGGGTGGATACTGCTGTGGAAAGTGGTGTCTCAGATTAGCACGTAGGAGGTTTATTCAGGAGTGCTCTTGGGATTGACAGCTAAGGAAGAGAAAGGAAAGGAGGGCAGCAAGTTTAGGAAAAAATCAAGATACCCTGGAGTCTCAACAGAAACCTCCGTTGACCCTCTGGGAAGTTCTAAAGATGAATTGACACTTCAGCTTTCCTCAGCCACGTTTTGGACATTTCTTCCCCCACATTGGGTCAGTCATTGGTTGTGGGATGTGGTGTGCCCCTAGGGGAGCAGTCAGATCTCTGAAGGAGCCTGACAGCGTGGTTGTCTACTGGTAGCACCCCCAGCAGCTGGTATAATAAATGCTCTATTGTTAAGGAGGGGTTGCCTGGGTTGGGGGAGGTCAGTCACAGCAGCCACAGTGAGTGTCGTTAGGAGAATTGGATTTGAATTCATATTCTATGTCCTAACCATGAGATTGGCAAATATTTCTTTGTGCTTTGCTTTTTAAATCTGTAAAGTCAGATTAGTATGGCTAATTTGATGGTTATTGTGAAGATTAAATAAGATAAAGTTTGTTTAAACACCGGGAGCCTACTAAGTTTTCTATAAATGTTTATAGACTAAGAAAGCATAAACAGTGATACTTCCTTGTCAGAAGTGCATTTTGTGGAATCTGGGTTTCTCCTAGAAAATATTTTCCTTCATTCAGTTAACAAATATTTAGTTCCTATTATGTTAATAGTTGAGTGAAAATATTTAAAAATCCCCCCAAAGTTTTGTCCTCCAGTTGAGTATAATTTAGTTGAAGAGGTGTTGTCACTATATAATGAGCCAAATAACAAAATGTAACATAAAGATAGACGTTGGACAGGCTTAGAAGTTCAGACCACTGGGCTTATGTGGTTGAAAAAGGTTTAATAGAAGTTGATGTTGAATTGGCTGGTAAAGATTGATACCCCACCTCCCTCCAAAAAATGGGCCTTAAACTGAGAAAACATCAAGATCAAAACTTGTATCATCAAGGTCTTATGTATGGGGCTTATAAGCAAATGACATGTCTGTAGTAGAGTATTTGTGTTGGGAATGGTGGGATAGAAATTAGGACCAGATTATTACAAGTCTTAAAATAGCACAGAGAACTGGAAATACAGATTTAGGAAACCCCTATATGAAGATAATAGTTAAAACATTGAATGTGGGTTAGGTTTCAGAGAGAGAGATGAAGAATGAATATGAGGGAGGGTGTAAAAGAATGTGTGATTGAAGACAAAAGGAGACTTAAGTGTTCAGCAGGGTAGAAAGAGCTAGGGGAGCATACTGTTCTGGGAGCCCAGGCAGAAGGGTTCTAAGAGGCAGGGGCAGAAAACTCTGAGACACTTAGAGAACGATTTTCAAGAAAAGGCCATTCAATTTCCATGCTTGGCTCTCTGCTTACCTTCTATAGCCCACTGCAGTCTTAAATTTTTTTGCAGATGACTAAAATTTTTAATTCCTGTTTCCGACTCTGTGTTCTAACTACCCATGTCTGTTCACGTTCCTAACACAGTGTCATTTCCTTCCTTTCTTCAACAAATATTTATCAAGCACCCATTTTTTGCTAGGCACTGTGTTGATCTCTAGGAATATAATGAACAAAACAAAATCCCTCCTTTCGCCAAGCCTGTATTTTAGCTGGGGTAGATGGTGGACTAATGAACATTGTTTTATCTGTTGAGTGATAGAAGAGGTAGGTCCAGGAGATAGCCAGGACCACTTCACACAAGACATTGTAGGCCCAGTTAGGTAGGGACTTTTCATTTTATTCTGCATGAGGGGGGAAAGGTATTTGAAGGGTTTAAAACAGAAAAAAGACAATTCATTAGCCAATCTCTTAAAAGTGATATTGACTGCTTGTATCCACTATGTTTTTGTCAAAAATATCATCTGGTAACAGCTATGCATTGGGTGGATACTGCTGTGGAAAGTGGTGTCTCAGATTAGCACGTAGGAGGTTTATTCAGGAGTGCTCTTGGGATTGACAGCTAAGGAAGAGAAAGGAAAGGAGGGCAGCAAGTTTAGGAAAAAATCAAGATACCCTGGAGTCTCAACAGAAACCTCCGTTGACCCTCTGGGAAGTTCTAAAGATGAATTGACACTTCAGCTTTCCTCAGCCACGTTTTGGACATTTCTTCCCCCACATTGGGTCAGTCATTGGTTGTGGGATGTGGTGTGCCCCTAGGGGAGCAGTCAGATCTCTGAAGGAGCCTGACAGCGTGGTTGTCTACTGGTAGCACCCCCAGCAGCTGGTATAATAAATGCTCTATTGTTAAGGAGGGGTTGCCTGGGTTGGGGGAGGTCAGTCACAGCAGCCACAGTGAGTGTCGTTAGGAGAATTGGATTTGAATTCATATTCTATGTCCTAACCATGAGATTGGCAAATATTTCTTTGTGCTTTGCTTTTTAAATCTGTAAAGTCAGATTAGTATGGCTAATTTGATGGTTATTGTGAAGATTAAATAAGATAAAGTTTGTTTAAACACCGGGAGCCTACTAAGTTTTCTATAAATGTTTATAGACTAAGAAAGCATAAACAGTGATACTTCCTTGTCAGAAGTGCATTTTGTGGAATCTGGGTTTCTCCTAGAAAATATTTTCCTTCATTCAGTTAACAAATATTTAGTTCCTATTATGTTAATAGTTGAGTGAAAATATTTAAAAATCCCCCCAAAGTTTTGTCCTCCAGTTGAGTATAATTTAGTTGAAGAGGTGTTGTCACTATATAATGAGCCAAATAACAAAATGTAACATAAAGATAGACGTTGGACAGGCTTAGAAGTTCAGACCACTGGGCTTATGTGGTTGAAAAAGGTTTAATAGAAGTTGATGTTGAATTGGCTGGTAAAGATTGATACCCCACCTCCCTCCAAAAAATGGGCCTTAAACTGAGAAAACATCAAGATCAAAACTTGTATCATCAAGGTCTTATGTATGGGGCTTATAAGCAAATGACATGTCTGTAGTAGAGTATTTGTGTTGGGAATGGTGGGATAGAAATTAGGACCAGATTATTACAAGTCTTAAAATAGCACAGAGAACTGGAAATACAGATTTAGGAAACCCCTATATGAAGATAATAGTTAAAACATTGAATGTGGGTTAGGTTTCAGAGAGAGAGATGAAGAATGAATATGAGGGAGGGTGTAAAAGAATGTGTGATTGAAGACAAAAGGAGACTTAAGTGTTCAGCAGGGTAGAAAGAGCTAGGGGAGCATACTGTTCTGGGAGCCCAGGCAGAAGGGTTCTAAGAGGCAGGGGCAGAAAACTCTGAGACACTTAGAGAACGATTTTCAAGAAAAGGCCATTCAATTTCCATGCTTGGCTCTCTGCTTACCTTCTATAGCCCACTGCAGTCTTAAATTTTTTTGCAGATGACTAAAATTTTTAATTCCTGTTTCCGACTCTGTGTTCTAACTACCCATGTCTGTTCACGTTCCTAACACAGTGTCATTTCCTTCCTTTCTTCAACAAATATTTATCAAGCACCCATTTTTTGCTAGGCACTGTGTTGATCTCTAGGAATATAATGAACAAAACAAAATCCCTCCTTTCGCCAAGCCTGTATTTTAGCTGGGGTAGATGGTGGACTAATGAACATTGTTTTATCTGTTGAGTGATAGAAGAGGTAGGTCCAGGAGATAGCCAGGACCACTTCACACAAGACATTGTAGGCCCAGTTAGGTAGGGACTTTTCATTTTATTCTGCATGAGGGGGGAAAGGTATTTGAAGGGTTTAAAACAGAAAAAAGACATGAACTACATTAATTTTGTGTAACTCTCTTAGAGCTGAGCCTGACACATACAGAGATAACTATATTGTTTGTTAAACTGTAGTTATTCAGTCTAGTCATCTTATTTTTGGAAGGATGACTGTGGCTAGCTACTGTGTGGTAATTAGACCATAGGGAGCCTTCTCATGGCTCCTTGGAGGAAAATCCCATGCCTCTGCTCTGAAACGTTGCAGTTTATAGTGAAGAGCTGCTAGGTAGATGTATTTAAATATTATTGCTTCTCAAACGCTAATACAAAAAGTAAATACACATTTATGTTTATTCCTATGCTTTTTGCTATCTACCTGATGAATCATAAAAATATGAATCACGTTTTAAAACCAGTTTTGGCAAATGGGATTTTCTTTGGAAAAAGGTGAAAATGAAGTTTGGGATCTAAAATTATGCCATACAAAGAGTGGTTGACAGTCTCATGTGTGGTTAATCTGGGGAAGTCAGGGCTGAGGAAGGAGATTGGGCAGCTCTGTGTCAAATTATTAAAGGACCATCTTTTGGATGACAAGTAGACTTTTTGGGGTGGGGAGATCTGGGACTAGTGATGGGAATAGATTTCAGCTAAATATAAGGTAGAAATTTATCAATAATAGAACTATTCATCAGTGGAGTACAGTGCCTCATGAAAGAGTGAGCTTTTGATGACTAACATTGAAACAAAAGCAGGACTGCCATGTGTCTGGGCTTCCTGAATGAGGAAGGGAGATTGAACTAAGATTTCCCGCAAATCCACTATTTTTATTTTTAAGTATCTCTTAACACTGATACTTTCTTTTTTTACTTTACAAAGATAGTTTACTGAAAGCAACCCATGTTGACACAGACACAAAACAGCAGAAGTCCATCAAATTGTCAGATGGGCAATTATTAATATATAGAGAGCAGTGTTATTTTTAATCATTGTCAAACTTAAAAATCCTTTTCTTTTTCAGGGATATCATGATAACCCATTTTGAACCTTCAATCTCCTTTGAGGGCCTTTGTAATGAGGTTCGAGACATGTGTTCTTTTGACAATGAGCAGCTTTTCACCATGAAATGGATCGATGAGGAAGGTGAGTAGTAAAGAGGGGACTGCCTGTATAAGCATTTGATTTAAGATACTATTCTGTCATTTGTTTTTAAAATACAATAAAAGTCCTAATTAAGGGGGAAGGAATATTAGAAATTTGATGTTATTCTTATTTTTCTTTCGGTATTTAAGTTAAAAGAGTAGCAAAGAATACAATCTTTGTTTTACCCTTTTTATCCCCAAATCAAGTGAAATTAATGTGACTTCCCCCCCACAACAAGGTAAACATCTCATTAAATAATGTTGTTTTACTTTAATTTTGAATATAAGTGGTCTTATATTTTAAGAGATTGCCTTCAATAATTTGACAGTATTTTTTACTCAATATTCCTTTTAAATATAATGTTATGGAATAAAAATAACTGTGACAACCATTACTTCATAGGTGGTTGCAGAAATTCAATATTAGTAACTTGTACTCAGAATACATTTATTAAATATCTGTGTGCTGGGGATAGATATTTTCTATCCTCAAACTCATAGTCTCATAGGGAGATGGATACGTGAATAACAAATGTGGAAGTTGAATGTAAAATGCATATGGACCTTGGAATGTGTAAGAAGCAGCATATACATATGCCTGAAATATCTGTGATGTTTAAACTAAACCTATAACAAAGAGTAAAAGTTTTTGAGTGGAGAAGGTGATGGGAAAACCTTCATTTACAGTAAAGAATAAGATATAAAAAGGCATGGAGGTATGAAGAATGTGGTGTGTGAGGAAGAGCTGTAATTCACTAAATCCAAAGTGTGGGGCATGGTGAAGTATGAACTTGGACGTGATCCTTGCTGCTCAAAGTATGGTCTGTGGAACTTACTAGGAAAGGGCACACCCAGGCCCCATCACAGACTACTGAACCAGAATCTATATTTTATTAGGGTCTACAGGTGAGATGAATGAATATTAAAGTTTGAGAAACATAATACTAGATCCTGGAAGGCTTTGCAACCCACATTAGACTTTATTTTACATGATGGAATGTCATTCAAGAATAGTTAAAAGAAGCCCTAAATCTGCTAATTTTGTATAATGGTTTTCCATTAATTGTAATATGGTCATTCCATTAATTGTAATGGTTTTCCATTAGTTGTAAAATGTAATAAAATGTAAACAGAATTTCATTATAAGGAATGTCATTATATGTAGCTCAATATTTGGGGCCATTTCTGTGTTCCATGATGTGAAGAGCCCTGGAAAGATGCTATCCCAGCACTAAGCTATAGTAAATTCAAATCCAGTTTCAACTTTAAAAGACACTTGAAAATTTTCTCTAAGATAACCCATGTTCACTGTTTGGGGGGAAAAAAAAGTACTGCAGATGTTTAGGAAATTTGAAAAGAAGTCTTGCATTTGCACTTTCTCTCCTTTTCTCCTTCACTAATCCCTGTCCTAAGAGAAGAAACCACTGGTAACAAGTATATATCCTTCTAGAGTCTATGTATGTATTAACATTCTTTTCTATACATTATTTATAAGCACACTTTTCTTACATGAAAAGAATTAATTACAAAGCAATATTTCCCTTTTACATTGTGTATTGGATATTTCTTCATTTCAGTGTGTATCAGATTGCATTACCTTTTTGTTAACACTGCATAGTATTCCATATTGTAGATCTTCATGATTTATTTAATCCCTTGCTGATGGACATTTGGACTCCTTCCAGTTATTTGCTATTGTAAGGAATATATAATGAACATTTTTTTTTTTACTGAATAATTTTTCAGTGTTTATTTTCTTAAATCAAGGGTATTCTCTTATATAGCTAAATTACAACATAAGGAAACAATATTTATGTAATACTTTGTTAGCCATTATAATGAACATTTTTATGTGTAATTTTGTGCTATTGTACAGGATTTGCAGAATTGTAAATTTCGGTAGCTAGTGACAATTTGCTATCAGAAAAAATTAAACCAATATATGGCATGACTACACTGAATGAGAACATCCCTTTACACTTGCCTTCACCAACCTCACATATGAATATTTAACATCTTTTTTTTAACCAAAGTGAAATGCTAGGTTGGTATTTTGAATTTTATGTTATTTAAGACTGAGTATCATCATCTATTCAACCACTTTTTTGATTTCTATCACAAGGTTTGTTTAAATATTATTAATAGTAAATGATGTGGCTATCTCACATGTATCTTCATCCTGAAAATGAGACTATAAAATTTAGCACAGTGCATAGACTATAGTTAGCATCAGTAAACTGATCCTTATCATGAAACAATGTTATTCTCGTTTTAATCCTGTCATTTCATGCCATTTATTTGTTTTTCTTTTTTTTTACATTTTACATCTCTGTATTTTTTTTTTTTTACAGTTTGACTCTTTTTTAAATTTTGGTATCATTAATATACAATTACATGAGCAACATTGTGGTTACTAGATTCCCCCCATTATCATGTCCCTACCACATACACCATTACAGTCGCTGTCCATCAGCAGAATAAGATGCTAAGGAATCACTACTTGTCTTCTCTGTGCTATACTGCCTTCCTCGTGCCACCCCACTACATTATGTGTGCTAATCGTAATGCCCCTTTTCTCCCTTATCCCTCCCTTCCCACTCACCCTCCCTAGTCCCTTTCCCTTTGGTAACTCTTAGTCCATTCTTCGGTTCTGTGAGTCTGCTGCTGTTTTGTTCCTTCAGTTTTTGCTTTGTTCTTATACTCCACAGATGAGTGAAATCACTTGATACCTGCCTGGCTATTTCACTGAGCATAATACCCTCTAGCTCCATCCATGTTGTTGCAAATGGTAGGATTTGTTTTCTTCTTATGGCTAAATAATATTCCATTGTGTATATGTACCACATCTTCTTTATCCATTCATCTACTGATGGACACTTAGGTTGCTTCCATTTCTTGGCTATTGTAAATAGTGCTGCAATAAACATAGGGGTGTATATGTCTTTTTAAAACTGGGCACCTGCATTCTTAGGGTAAATTCCTAGGAGTGGAATTCCAGGGTCAAATGGTATTTCTATTTTTAGTTTTTTGAGGAACCTCTATATGCATTCCACAATGGTTGAACTAATTTACCTTCCCACCAGCAGTGTAGGAGGGTTCCCCTTTCTCCACATCCTCACCAACATTCGTTGTTTGTCTTTTGGATGGTGGCCATCCTAACTGGTGTGAGGTGATATCCCAATGTGGTTTTATTTTGCATTTCTCTTATGATTAGCTATGTGGAGCATCTTTTCATATGTCTGTTGGCCATCTGAACTTCTTTCGAGAACTGTCTGTTTAGCTCCTCTGCCCATTTTTTAATTGGATTATTTGCTTTTTATTTGTTGAGGTGTGTGAGCTCTTTGTATATTTTGGATGTCAACCCCTTATTGGATATGTCATTTGTGAATATATTCTCCCATACAGTAGGATGCCTTTTTGTTCTACTGATGGTGTCCTTTGCTGTACAGAAGCTTTTCAGCTTGATATAGTCCCACTTGTTCATTTTTGCTTCTGTTTCCCTTGCCCATGGAGATATGTTCATGAGAAAGCTGCTCATGTTTATATTCAACAGAGTTTTGCCTATGTTTTCTTCTAAGAGTTTTATGGTTTCATGACTTGTATTCAGGTCTTTGGTCCATTTTGAGTTTACTTTTGTGTACAGAGTTAGACGTGATCCAGTTTCATTCTCTTACATGTAGCTTTCCCGTTTTGCCAACACCAGCTGTTGAAGAGGCTGTCATTTCCCCACTGTATATTCATGGCTCCTTTATCATATATTAATTGACCATATATGCTTGGGTTTATATCTGGACTCTATTCTGTTTCACTGGTCTGTGGGTCTGTCTTGTGCCAGTACCAAATTGTCTTGATTACTGTGGCTTTGTAGTAGAGCTTGAAGTTGGGAAACGAGATAACCTCGCTTGATTCTTCCTTCTCAGGATTGCTTTGGCTATTCGGGGTCTTTGGTAGTTCCATATGAATTTTAGAACTATTTGTTCCTGTTCGTTGAAGAATGCTGTTGGTATTTTGATAGGAATTGCATTGAATCTGTAGATTGCTTTAGGCAGGATGGCCATTTTGGCCATATTAATTCTTCCTGCCCAAGAGCATGGGATGAATTTCCATTTATTGGTATCCTCTTTAATTTCTCTTAAGAGTGCCTTATAGTTTTCAGAGTATAGGTCTTTCACTTCCTTGGTTAAGTTTATTCCTAAGTATTTTGTTCTTTCTGATGCAATTGTGAATGGAATTGTTTTCCTGATTTCTCTTTCTGATGGTTCATCATTAGAATATAGGAACTCAACAGATTTCTGTGTATTTTGTATCCTGCAACTTTGCTGAATTCACATATTAATTCTAGTAGTTTTGTAGTGGATTCTTCAGGGTTTTTCATGTACAATTTAATGTCATCTGCAATCAGTGAAAGTTCAACCTCTTCCTTACCAATCTGGATGCCTTTTGTTTCTTTGTGTTGTCTGATTGCCATGGTTAGAACTTCCAGTACTATGTTGAATGAAAGTGGGGATAGTGGGCATCCTTGTCTTGTTCCCGTTCTTAGGGGAAAAGCTTTCAGCCTCTCGCTGTTAAGTATAATGTTGGCTGTGGGTTTGTCGTATATGGCATTTATTATGTTGAGGTACTTGCCCTCTATACCCATTTTGTTGAGAGTTTTTATCATGAATGGATGTTGAATTTTGTCAAATGCTTTTTCAGCATCTGTAGTGATGATCATGTGGTTTTTGTCCTTTTTGTTGATGTGGTGGATGATGATGATGGATTTTCGAATGTTGTACCATCCTTGCATCCCCGGGATGAATCCCACTTGATCATGGTGTATGACCTTCTTGATGTTCTTGATGTAGTTTTGCATTCAGTTTGTTAATATTTTGTTGAGTATTTTTGCATCTATGTTCATCAGGGATATTGGTCTGTAATTTTCTTTTTTTGTGGTATCTTTGCCTGGTTTTAGAGTGATGCTGGCTTATAGAATGAATCTGGAAGTATTCCCTTCTCTTCTGT